AAAATCACTGTTTTTTTTCATATGTATGTGTATTTGTTGAGCATGTTGTACCGAATGTAGTCTGTGTATGTTCTGCAAGTATGTTTGTCAAGACTCGGTAGCCTATAAAATCACTGTATTATATACAGTAACAATATATATAGGTTTTATATATATATATATATATATATATATGTATATACACATTATATACTCTATGTGAATATGCATATGTGTGCTGTATAGAAAGTTTACTAAGTAGAAAACAGACAAAAGCACACTAACCTGCAGAAGGAGAGTGAAGACTGGCTGTTACTGTGTCACTGGTTACCACATGTTGCTATGGTAACCAATGCAATATGGCTGACTGTGTTTTTTTTTTTTCCCCCAACATAACCAGCACAGTACAAATTTGTCTTCAGGCCATTCTTATTCCTTAGCTGGAGTTAAACATTTTACAACAAGCAGACTCTGTGCAGATGTGAGTGTTGTCTGGATTTCTTTTTTTTCCTACCCTGGTAGCGCCCCCCATGTTTGATGACAATGGCCCCTCGGCTACGTGTCTCCTCCTCAGCTTGGGCCATGCTCTGACGAGCCTTATCGTACGAGTCATCTGTAGCGTTGACTGTCATCTTTTTCTGAATCACCCCAAGACATGACAGCTCCTCGGCAGCACTGGGGAGAGGAGGAGGAGGAGGAGGAGGAGGAGAGAGAACAGACAGTGATCTGACAGAGCTCTCAGGACTCCTTCATGTTATCCATTTCAAATAAAACGTTGTTTTTCACTACATACTTGCTGGACTGATGTTTATGCTTTGATAGTGTTGAGCTAGATGTATGCTCACATTAGCCAAAATACATCACACCAATCTGTAGTTTTATAATATTTTTAACAGGTGTCATTTGGGCAACAGCAAAGACTGCTATATTTTTTGTCAGGACTCAACTGCAGATTTGATGAATAATTCTTAAACTTTTCACAACGGCTGACATTTATCACATTCACTTCTCTACATTTCCAGCTTCTTAGACCTGTACAGTCAAGAGCCCTGTGTTTTTTCTGGCATTTAGAGCGACATTACCAGCGGGGTGACTTTCACATAGCAGTAGGGGAGTCAAGACATTTTAAAATATTGAAACAATTTCAAACGCCCAGTTAATGCTATACATAGAATACAAAGTAAACATGTAATCATGTAATCACTGCAGACAAAACAAGCTTACAGACCTCATGAGTAGGTTTTAAATTCCCTGTGTAATATAAAATGTGTGATCTGCACTACATTTATCACGTTTATTTTGCTTGTTGCTTCCAAATTAAATTTTGCAAATTTACATCTGCAAATGCTTGAGTATCAAGTTTTCATAATTATTGTTCCTTAAAATCTAAGCATTATGTCTTTCATTTTTAATCTGACAAACGCAACAAAAGTGTAGGTTATCTAACTGTTTTATGGGATTTATTATGTTGTATTTTACCCTGCACTGAGCTGTTGGACACAGTCAAAGCTTCCGTGTGGATTGTCACGGGCTACATTCGTCACGCCGAAGGTGAATATCCTCACTTCATCTCTTTTCTCTGAGCAAGGGATGGTGATTCTCTGCAAAATGAACAATTATACATTTTAAAAGATGTTAAATCTCATAAGAGGAAATTAATGAATTACTGTGTATGTCAACAGGAAGACCAGTTCTTCTTACCCCTTGGTTTCCACTAAAACAGATAGTGGGATGAGAGGACCAGCCCTGGAGAAAAAAAAAAATCATTTGAGTCACACACATAAACAAAGATCTGATAACAGACTAACAAAGACGTATGTAAAACACAGAACACAGGGGATGACTTGTGGTTTGTACTGTTCGTATGAGTGCTTTTGTCTTCCGTCAGTGTGGTTTTATCTCTGCCATTACTAACTTATACATTTGCTTTCCTTTCTGTGCGCTGTTGTTCTTCAGGTTTGTGCACAGCGTATCACAGTGGTTTTCAACCTGTCACTGTCTGATTAAGCCCCTCAGCCCACAGCTCAAATATCCCTTTATTGCTACCACCCATTGTATGGATTTAAAAGTGGGGGTTATTCAACGGTACATTAAACATATAAAAGTGGACGTTGTTAAAATATTTTTTTCGTGCAAGACATAGTGATCCTGGACTTTCAGTAGTCTGCATTTGTGCTACTGTCACTTGTAAAAAAGTGACAATAAGGGATGCATCGATCCAATTTATTCTATTCCAATTCCTAATCCCATATTTCAGATCAGGTTATAAAATGAAACAGAAAGCCATTACCAGTGCTCTGTTTTCCCAAAACTTTAAATCTGAATACCTCATTACATAGAACTAACTGGAATCAGTTTTTGTAATGCCAGGGATTCCTGTGACACTACACACTTAGTTGACGATCAGCCTTGACTGAAAAGTAAAAAGTGCGAACTTTAAAAGGGGAACTACACCAGTTTTACCCAACAAAGTCTGTTCAAAGGTATTCAGGAGTGTTACTGCATATGTGAAAAAAAGTTGTTTAAAACTTTTTGTGGCTGCAGAGGGAGCTGCACAAAGTCTGATTAACTTCCTAACATCGGATGGGGGGAAAAAAAACAAGTTTGAAAATTAAAAAAACAAAAAAAAACTATGTGTTTGGAGTTTGAAAGAAGTGAGCTTACCACACCTCTGTAGCCCATTACTCACCTCTGCTTGAGGCTGGCAGCTACTAGCATAACAAAACATGAATCTCCGATAAAGCTGGTCAGTGGTCGAATTGCATTGTGCACTGACTTGTAGGTGTAAGTTTTAACCAAGAGGTATATGTGGGGTGAAAAAGACAATGACTCCAGTTCTGCTGTATCTGATTTTTACCCCTTTCTTTAAACTATACATTGTGAGTCTGACAACATTGGGAGACCAATGCTAAATCAGTGGAGTGGTCTTTTAAAAATGACATTGACAAATACGCATCTACTGTGGATTGCTCATGGCATGACCCTTAATAACCTCAGTATTGATGCAGATGCAGCGTACTGGTTGGTGTATCCCTAGTACTGATAAATAGTAAAGATCAGCCTCACACCAAGTTGTAATCCTACTTGAAAGCTAAACAATGATATGTAGATAGAGGTTTTTAACCAAATCAATTTCCATCCCCTGACATCTGCATGAGTAGCCCATAGAAAAACATGTACCCCTGGTGTATCCAGTCACTTGTACATGACGTGCCCTTTAAATAAATTCAATTTGATTTTTAAAGAGGGCACTGGCTAAGGTCATTGTGACCCGCTGTTCAAATACAGCAGCTTGTCACTTGAGAATGCTATGAAAAAAAAGTGAAATAACAGCCTGTCATCTCTCACAGGGGAGAATTAGCCCGTAGGAAACTGCAGAAATGACAGGCCAAAGTGACACGTTTGCAGCACAGAGCGGAAAGAATTTGATGACTAGAATCTAATTGACCTTTTCATGGAGAAGATTTGTTAGTCCACCTGTTGATGAGTGCAGATGAGTGATGTGGCTGCCAGCAAAGAATTTGGCCAGGCTACATGTGGAGGTGGTGTTTTCTTTTTTGTTTTTTTGTGTCTCTGTGATCAGGCCAAGTGGGTTGTGAATAGCCACACTTAAAGCTAAATAAAGAAACTAGATATGTGCACAGCAACAGTATTGTATGTGTGTATGTGTGTGTGTGTGTGTGTGTGTGTGTGTGTGTGTTAGACTCAGTTTTATGCCAGGTGTTTCCCCCCCTTCTTGTCTATCTCAAGCTATATATGACAGTGTGGTTGTCACCTTTTATCAGAAAAGATGTGAATGTGCAGTTTGAGGAGTTTCCTCTCAGTGTTACTAGGAATTACTGAATTGAGGAAGTGTACATGACTGTTCTCATACTTCCTGCAGCGTCTGATTCATTTATGATTAACTGGGTCAAATGTTTGATTTTGAGTCTATCCATCTGTCTGGGCTTTCCATCTGCCTCCCTCTAGCTATACGGTAGATACAAACTGGCAACAACTCTGTTTTGTTTGGCAAAATAGGTAAACACTCACTCTACACCTCGCAAATGCAATACAAAACACCCTCCTACAACTAGCCCCCCCAACCCCCAGCCTTTCCTCCTCTTTTTTCCCTTTCTTCTCCCCTCGACTCCGACACCGATTAGCATTCATACTACTTGCCAGCAGCTTGTAACGACTTGGCCGACAGCTTTTTATACAAGCATCATCAAACAGGAGAGCGTTTCCGCATTGTATTATGCAACATGCTTTTCTATTCCACGGCTAAAAAGAGGCTTGTATGAGGCAACAAGCCGAAAACATATTGGTGAACTTCGGCTGAAATGCAAAGCACAAACCCGCCTTCCTCGCCTTTTCTTGTCACTTCGTCGTTAAGTGAGGCTCCTCTTAACGAAGTGGCACAACACATGTTATCATTAGTGGGTATAATGGCTAATTTTTCGAGGGTAAATTAGTTAAAAAAAAATCACCTACCTTTTGAAAGGTGCCAATGGCTCTTGCCGCGCTGTCAGTGAGTTTGACATGAAAAACAGAGATGTTACCGTCGCGGCTCAGTGTACCGCTGGACAGTCCGTAACACTGGTTCTCCCTTAGCACCGACATACCGCCGTAAATGTCCCCGCAGCCAGGCTTACTCCGGACAACACAAATCCGACATAAATAAACAGACACACTAGCGAGGTGAACCAGAGAAAGAGCTCAACGGCTCCGCGCGGCTGCTGCTCCTCTGCCGCGCGCTATTCTGGAGTAGATCGCATTACGTCATGACGGCTGAACTCAGAGCAATTTTTATTGGCCAGCAGACATAAATAAACCATTACGTAGAGCTTACGTAACCACTTCTACTTTTCCTGTGTCTCCTCTTGCTGTGCTCATTTCCCTTCTTTCACACGAAGGGAATTTCTTTCGTGTTAGCCAACAGGTCATTCAACGTCCTTACGTTTTAGTGTTTTATAGCATAGTTCAGCACTGAGGTTTTCTCAGGTAATAAAACTTATTGAAGTGTTTTTTGTCTCGCTGAGTCATATTTTCATTAATTAACGTAGCCAGGATTTAGAAATTCTGAGGTCTGAGTACCATTAATTTTTGTCATGTGCAAACGTTTTAGGGACTTTATTTGTTTTGTTTTTTTATTCTTTTGTGTCACGTAATACCACGAGGAAGGCGTCTGATCAGTCCCAGATTCATTCTGCTGCATCAGACAACGACCCCAAACACACAGGCAGAGTCGTGGAGGCCTATCTACAGCAACAAGAAGGGGCCCTGTAACAGATGGTCTGTCCCCCACAGAGCTCTGATCTCAACATCATGGAGTCAGTGTGGGATCACGTGAAGAGACATATGACACTGAGACAGCCTAAATCCACAGGACAACTAAATAAAATCTTGTTTTTGTTGTTGTTTAGAGCACTTTGCATGAAGTTAATTAATAAGTAAAAACTGTTCATGGCATTATTTTGAAAGCACCCTAATTTCACTTTTAGTAAAAAGCTAAAACTGATTAAAGGACTTGTGGTGGAATATGTGAATGAGGGATATTTTTTTATCATCTACACCTACACCTAAATGGACTTACAATATCCTAATTATATTCAGAGCCAAGAGAAAGCAAAAACAAATCAATATGTACTTGTCAAACATATTATATACATATTTAACAAAAGCTGAGCTATGTCAAATGTATTATACATAAACATGTACTAAAATATACATCCATCTGTCATATAAAACAGAATGGGATGCTTAACTCAAAGATCAACATAAACAGTACAATATAAATGCATCCAGTTTAAACATATTGTTGAATTCAATGAAAGACAATGGAATATACATTAGCCCACAGTTATACTGTAATATTGACAGTAATCACTGCAGACGTGATGTTTATTGTTATGTATTACACATTTCATAAGTCTGCTGGTTTTCATACCACATAACCATAACCAGTGGCTTCCTGGAATAGAAAAAAGATGTTGGAAGATATTTCAGTTGAATTCAACTTGAAAGGCTCAGTTGGGTGTTTTTTCACATGTAATGTTGCTATCTTCCAGTCCAATCAAATATTGTTGTTATAAAATCCCTTCGAAGGGGGTTAAATATTGTTAGAAATTCAGTAGAAGATGAATAGAATATCATACACAAGAAAACATACTGTAGCGTTACTGACAGACAGGTGTTAAGTCCTAGTGTAGGATTAAACTTAATACAAATAAAAAGTAGATTATTTACAATGTATGAGTTTAAGTAACTGATTTATTTTCTGAAAACACTGTTGGGTGTGTTCTTTGTAATGCAAGGACAAAGCTCCTTTTAATTTGAAAAACTATATTTACAAAATAAGACACAACTGAAAGACCATAGTTTGAAAATTAGCATGTCTCTGATGCTTATGAAGAGGTGACTCAAATACATAGGCTGATGGCAAAGTAAACACATACCCTGCTAAATGTAAAATTACTGACTGAAAAATACCTTGAAAAGTAAAAGTACTCCAAGAAGCTGCTTAGTTAGAGGACTTACATAACTTTAGGGGCCATTTTCATTGTTTCATATCCATCCAGGACATTTTGCATGACAGAGGATGGAGGAAATATTAGATTAATATACTCAGTTGCTGCTGATACCCATTACTATTTTTGTTACCTCTGACTAATTGCTGTTTGACTTAATTACATTACACGTCTGGTATTTGAGGGTTGCTGAAGGGCTTTTCTGATCTCAGACAGACACAGTCTCTTTTCTCTCGCTCCCTCCCTCCCTCTCTTCCGTTTTGAAAACATTCAAGTCACATTTATTTATTTAACAGAACAGTTGCTCAGTGCAGAGAACAGAACACAAAGACAGACAAATACAAACTGGAGAACAAATGCACAGCAGATTTTCAGATACAAATGAGCTGCTGTGAGTTTATGTGTGTGTGTGTGTGTGTGTGTGTGTGTGTGTGTGTGTGTGTGTGTGTGTGTGTGTGTGTGTGTGTGTGTGTGTGTGTGTGTGTGTGTGTGTGTGCGTGTGTGTGTGTGTGTGTCTCCTCTGTCTCTCTGCCAGTGTTTGAACGCAGACGGTGGTCACAAGTCAGATGAGCCTGTTCAAAGCTGACACATATCAAACGGCCTCTGGGTCTTTGTAGTGCAGTGTCTGCAACAGGTGACATTTTGGGCTCAAAACTGTTTATAACTTTGAACGTTGGCTGCGGGCCAAACCTCCCCTCAACCCAGCAGGTATGAGGAGGACAGATTAGTACAGAGGAGTTACAGAGACAGAGGGAGTAGATGAAAGTTAGTATCCTCACAGGCCAGCAACATGAGGATGCTTCACCCAAAAGCTGAGCAAAAGGTTTCAACGGATACATCTTTACAGCTCATCAGTGTCGCTTTCTTCTTGTCTGAGTAGGAGGAATAAGTAAATGAACACTGCAGAAGGACCGGCAAGGTGAGTTTAATGTTTACTATGTGTTTTATAGATCATCTATCCATATAATTACCCATTGGATACTATATGTCATGTCAGTGTCAATTTTAAAAGTATCTATAATAACATTAGCATCTTAAGTTAAATTGAATACACACTGACTAAAAATGAATGATGTCAGTGTCCAGTTTTGTCTTATATTTTTGTTGTAATAAGTAATTTATCAAGAGTTTGAACTAGTGTTATTTTTATACCTTCATAAATTGTATTTCTGATTGTTGATTTTTTTGTTCTTGAGGAATACATGCCTTTAATATACAATAATCACAAAAGTCAAATTGCTTATTGAAAAGTATAATTATAAACATTGAAAAAAGAATGTTATCAGGATAATATCATTGACCACTGATTGCCCTTTAGCCTACAGCTTTTCAGAGAAATAGCAGGTAAAAGATGTCTGGAGCAGGTACTGAAGGTGTGTTGCTTTTGAAACTGGAATGTTATATCATACTGAATGTTATGAAAATATACTGCGACTTTCCTACACCCTCTCTACAGGCCATGTGGGATCCCCTGTCAGACTGCAGCCCCCTCATCAGTGCAGCAGCCTCAGGTAAGCTCCGTCTGGTCCGCCTGCTGGTTGAAGGCGGGGCTCAGGTTAATGGGCACAACCCCAGAGGAGAGACGGCTTTGCTGGCTGCCTGCAAGGCCCTGAGAGGGGAGCCTGCTGGGCCTGACACGGTGAAACTCCTCAAATACCTGCTCCAGAACAAGGTCAGTCTGCAGTGACTAACATTTCCCATTTCAACTCACAATGTATGAGGTTAAAATGCATCTTCTGCATACAGGTCTGAACGCAAGCTCAACAGTGTATTGATTTAGGTGCATTTCTAATGTATAATAAATCTGTCGCTGCAGTAACAGAGGTATATATTTTTATGCATAATAAACAGGTTCCTCGTGTATCCGCTTTTGCTTGTGTCCTCAATTCACCTGCTAAACTGCTCCTTAACAATTTGGCACAGTAGAACACAACACAATGTACTCTGAGGCAAGGTAATTAATGATTATATGGAGGACTGTGCATTAGAGAATAAATGTCTCATAAAGTGTCCTCTCACTTGAGAGGCAACACCCAAAGCAACAATGCCAGAGTAGCTCTTATGATCATTAACAAATTGTAATTCTAATACAGTCTGGTTTCCTTACCAACAAACATACATGTCTAAACACACAGATGAACTCGCTGACTGACTCCTAATTCACACTGGGCCTTTACTAAAGCTTCCTAGGATACACATTTCTTGAGTTGTCATCTCATATCTATAAGATTAATATTAATTTTGTTATAAGCACTAGTGAATGTTTTTTGTACCCATCAGGCAGATCCAAACACACAGGACCGCGTAGGCCGTACTGCTCTAATGTACGCCTGCATGGAACGAGCAGGAGCTCAGGTGGCAGCCGCCCTGCTGTCTGCAGGAGCCGACCCCAGCATGGAGGACTACTCTGGAGCCTCGGCTTTGGTGTACGCCATCAATGCACAGCACCAACCGACGCTGGAGGTAAAGTCAGGAACTGGAAAGAATAATCAAGGAAAAATTGGATCAAAACTTTTAAGGGACAAAAGAGGTGGGAGAGTAGAAGTAAAACAAGAAAGCATCTCAATATTTTATTGTTTATAATGACATATAAAGATGGTGGAGAAAGTACTAACATCTTGTGTTTAAGTTAATGCACTTGCATTACATTTTTTTCTTGAGTAAAGTGATATAACATTATAAATAAAGATGATAATCATTAATGCATTAGGAGTGTTTTAATGTTGTGGTATATCAAGGTGGAGCTAATATGTTTGGGTGTTTTAACCCAGAACAATGCATCATGGTTTATAAGTTGATTATGGGTTTTGTGTGTAAAATCTTTATTTAAAAATGTAATAATTAAAAGTACAACATTTCCCTCTAAAATGTGGTGGAGTAACAGTAAAAGTAAAATGGTAATACTCAACTAAAGCAGATGAACCTCAGTTTTCCCTCCCTACAAATATGGAGGAAACACTGAAATCCTTTAAATGAGAACAGTCAAAATGTGTAGGCCACCTTCAAAAACCTCACCCCTGCTCATGTGCTTCAGGTGCTGATGGATGCCTGTCGGGCCAGGGGTCGTGACATCATCATCATTGCCACAGAGATGGGAGTGAATGGAGGCCCAGTGACGAGACGTTACTTGAATGTTCCTCCGTCCCCTGACACCTCGCCGGTGCCCTGCATGTCCCCGTCTGACATTGTCCTCAAGACGGGCTCACCCAACTCACCCG